CTGCTAAAATTGAGGGGTTTAAAAAAAAATCCATTCCCTGTACCTACCTTCCCTACCCATGTTTTTAAACTAATTTATATAAAATCTGGAGGCTATTACAGCTAACATAGCAGGTGTGTGGCAGAAATATTACTTTAAATTTGTCTTGTGAGATTTTACTATATCTCAGACAGCATAAATGCTGTTTTAGCACTGGATTCTTTCACTGAGCACAAAGAGTTGTTGGGGCTTTAGCATCTGACTGATTTTGTTATGGGGTTGATTCTTGACCATAGGAAGTATGCAATGTGAATCACTATGTACAGAGCCATCTACAACAGATGCTTGACGTTGTAGAGACGGGACACATAGCTACCAAGCAGATTAAATGAAACCCAGAAGGTGTTCAATACGCGTGTTGTGTTTCCAAAATTCACTGTACATGATCAGTTTGGTGTTCTTGTACCACAGTTTTTAACCGAAGGAACCAGTTGGAACAATCTCAATTTTTAACTAAAACTTGAAGAACTAAAATAGCAATGCAAACCATTAGCATTGTTTTGGCCAAACTTGTTAAAACTGTAATGCAAGAACCAAATGCACTGTGATGTGGCACCAACTAATTAGCAAGCATGAATTTTTCACCCAAGAGTGAAAAAAAGAAAAATCTACCATGGCTTGAAGTTAAAGAGCAGAACTCCTGACTACCATTCTATGACTGATCAAGAGACTAATAGCTAAAAACCTCAGCAGGCCTTGTTCACGATATGCAGAAAAAAGTGCTGCAGTTTAGATACCTCTGGAACTTTTCCACAGTGTCACAGGTTTGTAATACTTGAAGCCCTTCATTTCTAAGAATATATTTCTTGCTCAGTTGTTTCAGGCAAGCCCAAGACTTTGTAATTTTTAAAGGGCCCAAGATTTTTTTTTTTCAATAACAGACCAGCTTCTTTTTCCTGCAGTTACAAATGTAATTTCTTTTTTGTTGTCAAACATAAGGTACCAAATATGATGCAATAAATTGTTTTGAAAAACAGTTGTGTGAATATTTCCACTAATCCGAGTTGGGCTTCTATGAAATACACAGGTGGAAACAGAGGTTGAAGCCAGAGGCAGTGAAATGCACTGTAGGGCTAGTGCAGAGGGGAGCTTTTTAGAGTGGGCTAAATGGTGGTGTCAGCGAAGTTCCAGCACTAAGTAGAACGCTGCTCCTTTGTTCAGATTTCATTGAGGGCTAGGATGGTGGCAGGTCCTATGAATGTAATTTATAATGGGAAAGGAAAACTAAACATGACTATTTTGATTGGGAAAATGAGCCTTAAACACGTCAAACCTGTACACTGAGAACTAGCCTCAGGCTCAATATTTCTTTATTTGCAAGGTCTGAGCAATTAAGTTTAAGTAAAATGAATTAAGTGTATATAAAATTGAACTTTTGTAGTATTTTAGTTATAGATAGTACATATGCTAAAGGGAATTTCAGAAAATCAGATCTTTTTATTTCATAGTACATGATCTGCATTCCACATCCCAGTCTAACAGGTCAGTGATGCAAAGATAATTACAGTCTGAACTCCAGTGCTTCGCTTTAACAGGCCCTGTCTCAGGAACATCTTAACAGATGGCAAAAAAAAAAAAAAAAAGCAAACTTTAATTTTTTTTTTTTTTTTTAAGTGAGTGGCAACTGAGGTTTTTATTGTTTGGAAAAAAAAACACTAGTGGTATGTGTGCCACTAATTCAATATTGGAGGAGGCACCAGCCATATAGTAGGTGTGTATGTGTGGATTTGTTTAAACTCTACTGTATCTCAATGAAATCCGTCTATTTGTCTTGACAATGTTCAAATGATGTAGATTGTCTTAGGGGTGAATACTCAGAAGTACTCAGAACTCGAATGCAGATGCCACCTGAGAGGAGCTAAATTCCTGTCGTGTACATTGTATTCCAACCCAATTTTACTGGAACTATTGAATAAATCTTTTATTTTCTTTCAGGTTTACTTGATAGTGGATATACATTGTCTGGTGTCAAAGGACCTTGACTGGGTTCACCTAAAACATTGTATTTTACTCTGAGTATATCAAATGGATCAGTTCACATTTACCCCATTCATATTCAGTTAATTTCCAGTGATACTGTGGGGGAAAACAGGGTTAGATAAACAAGTTGGAAAAATGCAGTGTGATGTTGTAATCTAAACAAGTGCCTTATGTTTATTGCTAAGAACTGGTGTTATCAACCCTTTTAATAAGAAGGGGTCCCTCGGCCTGTATTAATATAGGAAAGTAAATATCTTTTTGTTTTTCCTTATATTCACTTATTGTCATTTCTCATTGAAAGCTAAAGTCTGACTAGCTTAGTGTACTTAGCTTTAATTAGATAGTTGAGTCATACATTTTCACCATTTTTTCTGTATTTATTATGCACAATAAAATGATCTCTAATAGCATGACTAAAAGTAGTGCCGATGTCACTGGAAAGCTTTCTGGGTCTTATTAGGCCCTGTTTTTCACCATGATTGTACTGCATGCTTTGCTGCTTTCAGAGCTGTGAAATGAAAGCTGTGACTGAAGAGCTCAGAAAACTATGGTCTGGGATCAGGTGGGTTGTGACAAACTCAGAAATCCCTTCTAATCAGTCATGCATAGCATCCACTTGGGGAAAACTAAAAAGGGCAGTACTGAACATGGTAGGCATTTACTTTCAGATAATCACTGTCCTTGAATTCTGAAAACTGATACAAGAACATTTAGACTGACCTTTCTGGTGGAAGGAGTCTTTTCTGCCTCTTTTAAATCCTTAATATCATTTTATCTAAGCTTTGCTGACACCTTATTAAATCTTTAAGACACAATCCCCATGAAATGGCCTTGTTGCACTATCGGAAGCAAAAATGGTGTCAATTTTTGCTGGTTGAAAATCTAACAACTTGTAGCAATAAAAAGTTTTTGGAAAAGATTATCAGGTTTCACTTCTCCCTTCTACAGCTAAGAGATAGTTGTGGGAAGTCTTTGTGGTGTGTAAGAGGTTCTAAAAATGCTGTATTTAACAAAGAATACCTTTGACATGTACTCTAGTTCATATAGTTAAAATTACCATACTCCGTGGAGACATACTTGTGATAATATTAAACACAAAGGGTTCTGGGTGTGAGAGTGCATACCTATAATCCCAGCACTTGGCAGTTGAGGCCAGGCCTAGAAAGGTAAAGAAGGCAGAGGGGATAGCTGTAAAAGGACAGTCCAAAAGTGCCGCTTGTCAGTTTATGCAGTTGGCCCTCCGTAACATTATTTTGGGATGATAGAAGAGTTTGGTGCAGTATAAATTAGAACTTACTGATGTTATAACCTCAGTGTTCTACACACTAAACCCGGATGACAGCCTTTGTTTGAAGGATGTAACCAGCAGTGGAATGAAAACCATTCTGAGGTCTGTCATGTTGGAGACAGTATCTTACCACGTCGCCTCTGCTGGCTTCTAACATAGGCCTCCCTTCTGAGTCCTGGGATTAAATGCATATGCAACCATGCCTAGCTATGAAGGCTTTAAAAGATTGTATGTGTGCATCTGTGGAGGTCAGAGGACAACTTGTATTGTCAGATCTCACCTTCCGCCTTTATCACCTTTACATGTTTCAAAGATCAAACTCATGTTACCAGGCTGCATGGCACCTTCACCTGCCAAGACATTTCACAGGCCCATCAGTGAAGTCTTGGTCTCTAGTTCAAAAACCTTGTACTTCATGCAGATGGCATATTTCTACATGTTGGAAATCTCACTGTAATGTAAAGATGCTTTGACCTCTGAGGACAAGCCTGCCTTCTCGTTTACGAGTAACAGGAAGTGAGATGATTTTAAGAGTGTTCTGGATCTCATGAGTTGATTTAATGATTCTTGCTTGTCTTCTGTGTTTACCTGTACATGACTGGCACAGGGACTCTACTATCTCTGTGGTTTTCCATTGTTTGATCTTGAATGAATTTGCCGCCTGTCTACTTTGTAATTGCTGGTTTTTCAGGACACACAATGGTTACATTGTTCTTCCAAACTGGCTTTTCTTAGCTCTGTTTATCTGCCCTCAAGTAATCATATTAGTGCTTTGTATCTTTCAAAATAAAAAAGTCACCATTTAAAGTAGATGGTAACAAGACTGTTATCATGGATTCTAGAATACCAAATACTAATAACTCTTCCCTTCATTAACTTAGTAAAAAAAAAAAGAGAGAGAGAGAGTAATAGACATTTTTAGGAACGTGTATTCAGCATTACTTGTTCAGAAGTTTATTAAAAAGGACCTAAGAATATGCCAACTGCTTCACTTGTTTTTGTTTTTATAGTTGGAAAAGTTTTAAACACTCCATTGAACATAGCATTTCAGTTTGCCTGCTAAAATTACGTGAGTGAAATTTCAATTGTAACATGAAGTTGCATGATTAATGCTTTGCCTCAAATTCCTGTAAGTCTGTTAAAAAAATTTTTTAAATATTCATTGTATGTAAACTTGGAGGCCTAGGGACAACTTACAGGAGTCAGTTCTTTTCTCCCACCATGCATATGAGTCCTAGGATTTGAACTCAGGTTGTCAGGCTTGGTGGCAAGTACCTTTACTTAGTCAATTTGCCAGCCTACAGACCTATGAAAAGTGTTGAGAGTAATGCAAACTCTTGAAGCTGGTGTGGCTAACTGCCCCCACTAATGTAGGAATAACAGTAACTGTGAACTTAGGTCATCTGCAAAGTCTCAAACTTCCTATCCCTTATTTGTGACTATAAAAGATTCATCTTGGTCTTATCTGTTGGCCTTCTGTAATCATCTCAAAATATTACAGATAAATCATTTATTGACATTGTATTTTCCACATTAATCTTTGCTCTTATATAGTTTATAGGACAGAGGTGCTGGAAGTACCATCTCTAATTTTCTCCATTGTCTGTTGTGATAGTAGTTGGCAGTGAATGGGCTCATCTTGAAGTGGGCATTTCCCAGGTATTGCCATGCCTTACTGGTACAGGCTTGCTGCAAAGGATACCATTCAGTTTCTGATCTCTCAAAAAATATAGGACAGGCATGCTACATACCCAGACTTCTTTGAATAGCTTAGCATCTTTAATCTTTACAAAGAGTACACAGGATCATCTCTTCTCAACACCATAGTGAGCATCATTCACATCCACATTCACAGCTCTGGTCCATACTTGCCCTTCTTTCTGTGGAGGAGAAAATTTAGTCCTTGAAATTGTAAACTTGAATTCTGTTTTCAAGTCCCAGGAAAGCCCTGAAAACACCGGTTGCCCAGGCCTACTATGAAACGTGATTAAAATGATCTGCAATTAGTACTGATGCTTGCCTAGCCCTGACCTTTTCTAGAGATTCTAAGGTACAACCAAATTTAAAAGGCACTGTCTCAGTCAGGCGAGATGGTACACTCCATTAATCTTAGCCCTGAGGATTGCATCTGGGATGTTTTCTGCTGGTTAACAGTTATTGAACAAGTTGCTAGATCGATACTATTCCTTGCCTTTCCGGGGTTTATGTTGCTCCTCACCATGGCACACCACGGTCTCCATTTTCCATCTGTCTTCACAAAAAGTCCTGCATTAGTAAGGTCATCTTCGATCCTGTGACTCAGCTATCAAGGACCAGCACACATTCTTTGAGGTTTAGTGCCACAGCAGTGTCATGGAGTTATCATAGCCTGTGGGTGGGTTAGAATACAGATCAATGTGGATGTTTCACTGTAGTAAAAATTTCTAGGTCAAATAGTTGGATGTATCTATTTTAATATTTTATTTTATCCCTGCAGCCCAATGTGGAATAAACACTCACTTTAAATAAGGAAATTATTCTCATCAGTATTTCTATTTTCATTATTTGTGCTCATCATCATTTGTGGTGGAACATCCAGCCAGTATTTCAGGAAGTCTTTTATTATCCTTTTCTTGATGCACTTCAAGTTTTAATTTTTAAAAATTATTTCATGTTTGTATAAAAACAAGAAAGTTATTGGGCAGTGGTATAGAATGCTTTTAATTCCAGCACTCAGAGGCAGAGGCAGGAGGATTTCTGAGTTTGAGACCATCCGGAGGTACAGAGTAAGTTCAAGGACATATAGGGCTACACAGAGAAATCCTGTCTCAAAACAAAACCCAAACTAAACAAAATACAAGAATGTCTAAACAGGAATAGATAAATTGAACTATGCTCTGTAAGGTTTTGTAGCTAAAATGAATGGATTAGCAGAACTAAATTAAGATTTTCCTTCCCTGGAGTTGTGGGAGATGGTTTTCTTGTTAAGTCTTGTCATGGAAGCATGAGGACCTGAGTTCACAACCCTGCACTTATATAAAAACCAGGTTTATCCATAATCCCAACATTTGGGAGTCAGAGATGGGAGGATCGCTGGGTCTGCTGGCTGTCCAGTCTATAAATGGGTAATCCCTGGTTCAGTGCAAGACCTTGTCTCCAACTCTAAGGCTGGTGAGGATGCTCCAGGGGAAGGCACCGGACAGCAAGCCTGACGGCCCAGGACTTACATGGTGGAAGGGATTCCATTGAGTCCACGTGTATGTTGTGATGTGGCTATACCTATACACATATACACAGAAACGTAATTAAGATGGACCAGGCGGCAGCACCTTTAGTCCTAGCATTCTTCAGGCAGAGGCAAGGAGGATCTCTGTGAGTTCAAGGCCAGCATGATCTACATAGTGAACTTAAGGAGTGCCAGGACCCTGCCTCAAGAATCAAACAAATGAAAACAATAAGGTGGCTGTGGTGGCTCAGGACTTCAGTTCCAGCACTTGGGAGACAGAAGCAGGCCTCATCTATCTAGCAAATTCTAGGCCAGCCAACGATGTATAATGAGACTTTCTTCCCCTCAAAAAGATGGACACCGATAGAGGATACCTGATGTTGATTTCTGGCCCCAAATCTATCTAGGTACACACACAAGTGTATTCCCACACAACTACACACTCACAAATGTGTACACATATATGCTGTACATAGACAAAAAGGAAAGATTCCATGCAACTGATACAAAATACCCAGGAAGGAATAATTTGTATTCAGCTAAAGAAATGCACAAAGAATGGTGATTGTAAAGAGAAAAGGAAAGTGCAGCCAGAAAGAAGTCTGAGGAGAGGCTTGGTGCAGGAAATAGTGTAGAGTTCCGATGACCGTGAAAGTCTGGTATCCCGACTCCACTTCCCAAGGGGTGGGATTAGAGGGCATCACTACTCCCAGTTTTATTAGGGCTTTGCATGTCCTTGGTAGTCACTACCAACGGAACTACATCCCCAGCAGAAAAAAATGTCTTAATTTTTTTGACTTTTATATTTATTCAACTAAAAAATGACAGTTGTAACTAAGTGACTTTTAAAAATAACTATTTTTGGCACTAGAGATCAATTCACGTGCCTCACACTTGTTACGCATGTTCTCTACCACTGAGTCACACCTTCAAGCCTGGTATTACTTTTCAGTTAGATTTGTGTTGCTACTTAAAATGGCAGTGTGGAAAAGAGAGCATCCTCCTTGTGTAGCCACCAGAGGGCATAGTGAAGAGATTAATTGCCATTCCATCATGGAGTTTCAGAGAAACCTCTTTTTCACTGTTCAGTCTATTGTAGAAAGAAACAAGTTTAGTCATTCAAAAACATTCTAAGAGAACTGCTGACATTTTTAGGGAATTTTCTTCAGTATTTGGGATCAAATGGCAAGTGTTTACCACTGAAGTACTTTTCTTCACACATGTTGGGTTTTTTATTTGACATTATGTGGACACATTAGGTATATTGTTTATTTGAGAGCAGATCCTGTTAAATTCAGCAGGTTGGTTTGAACTTGTGGTCTGCCAGCCTTACCATTCCAAGGAACTGGGATCATAGCTATGTGCTGAAAGTTTTCACCTGGCTGAAAATTTTATCAGCTTTTTTTTTTTTAATACAATGTATTGAACCCATGTCTTCTATATGCCAATCAGATGTTCTACCACTGTCTTGACATTGCTTTATTTAAAAAAAAAATCTTTGCTATTCTATCTCTATCTAGTTGCTTGTCCTGGAGTGTCTCCAGAATTGGAATGCCTAGGCAAAGCCCATACTTTCTTTTTCTTAAGAAAAGGCTATTAGTATAAATCATCAAGTTGTGTTTCACTATGTTTTTATGTGTGGAGAGCATGGTCCCTTATCATTGATATCCTTTTGAATAGAACTTGCTATCCCAAATTGTTATTCTTCATGAAATCTGAAGTAATCCTGTCAAATTTTGCACCGCCCTCCGTATTTCCTCTATTAATTTATTTGGCTGGGTGTTGTGGTACGTGATTGTAATCCCAGAACTTGGGAGGCAGTGGCTAGAGGATCTCTGTGAGTTCAAGGCCAGTCTGGTCTACATATACAGTTCCAGGATAGCTAGGACTACATAGAGACTCTGTCTCAAAATTTTCCCCATTTATTTGTTTGTGAGATGATCAGGATTTGGCTGTATATAGCGCATGCCAGCCTTGAATTTATGATCCTCTTGCCTAAGTTTCCCAAGTGCAGTTCTTACAGGCAAACCATCACACCAGGAACCATTGTATAGAACTTTACTCCCATCTAATCCAGACTAACTTCTGACTCTCCTCTTAATTTGTTTTGCTGTTTCAAGTTCTTGCAACCAAGGCCCCTACGTCCTTAACTTTTCTAGACATTTTTTTTTTCCTTCAGTATTCGAACACACACCTGATCTTCTACTAACAACATGGTTTTTGTACAATACTTAAAATCTGCAGCCTTAGCTCATGGTTTGAGTCCGTCAGTACTAGACACAAGACCCACGTCCTTCTCACTTTCCCCTTCCTAACAGACATTCACTACAGCCCTGGTCACACTCAGAAAGGAGCAGAGAACAGGCTGCCCTCTCTCCTCCATCACCATCCTTGACATCATTCATCAAGTAAGCTAAGCTGGGATCTGATGGGATTTACTGCCTATTGCATCTCCATAGCCCACCACTTTCCTGTTAAGCCAGCAACTGAAGTTCTGAGACTTTATAAGATGTTCCACACATGCAATGCCAAACTGTTATAAACAGTACCTTGTATCACTTCTTTGTGCCTCAGATCCCACAGGGAGCAGGAACAGCACAAGATGTCTCCTGAAAGCACTTGCTGTGCACTGAACATAGTCCAAGATTTTATCCAAGCATTGGTGTCTGCTCATTCCCACCCAAGTGAAAGAATGTTCCTTGCGTTAAATGTAAGCATTTTTCCTTAGAGGGAAAGAAAGAAGGCCTCTGTCTTGGTTACTGTTCTATTGCTACAGTGAAACACCATGACCAAGACAGCTTACAAAATGAGGCAGAGGGTTAGTCCATGATTATCATGGCAGCAGGCAGGCTAAACTCAAATCATGGCTATCCTCCTGCCTCAGCATACACTACTGCTACACCCACGCCAGTGTCGCCATAGTAACATATGCTACAGGGCGGGGGATACGCTTTCTTCGGAAATTCGCCCCCTGGAAGGTCCCTGGCAGACTCATCCCACTTGGAAAAGAGACATATTCTGAGATTTCTACGCTTTTTCAGTTGTGGCTCTGGGGCTGGAATAATGACTTCTTTGATCTTTCTCTGTGACTCCTGAAACAGCACAACTAACTTTATAAAGAAATTTATTATTAGGAGATTGTTAAGGGCTTTAATAAAAAAAATAAGTTTAAGAAAAGTAATGAATTAGATTTAGTATTAATAGGCATTATAAGAATAGTGAAAAAATAATAGGCTCCGTCTTAAGAAAAAATAACAGAAGTACAGCTGGCACAAGTTTACCCCTCCCTTCAGCGTCTTGTTCCTAGGGAATATCATAAATCTTTAGCAGGACATAAGGGAGGATGGTTGACAAAGGTGTGTTTAGACTTTGGCAGGTATTCCACTTGGCTCGGAGGACTATTACAGCTCCTGACTTTCCTCTTCACTAGTCAGTGATAATGAAACCATAGTTTGAGGTTTTTGTTTCTTGTTTGCGTTGATCAAAAAGTTTCTAGGCAAAGATTTCTTGTGGGCACTGCCCTATGTTAAAACATAAACTTTGTATCCTTGGTAAAAGTCTGAATGTTCTGGAAAGCATGCCAATTTTAAGGTGTTTCCTTGTGAGATCACTATAAAAATACTAGCTTCACTTCAGTAAAATTGCAGCAGAGTCAACACCATCAAGGTGTCTCTGTCTGTCAATTCATCGCCGAAACCGTGTCTTCCTGTCTGAAGCCTTGTTCTCCTGCAGACGCTGGGAGCCCGACTGGGCCGGTCCGTGGCACACTACCATTTCAACTTCTACATTTTCAATAGAATTTAAATAGGACCCATGCCTCAAAATGAAATGCTCAAAATGTCCAGGATGTAACCCCAAATTACTAAGCATACGAGAGAGAGAGAAAAATCTCAATTTCCCTAGGAAAAATGATGCCAGCACTGAACATAGACAGCAAAATTATTCTCATGAAGCATTAACCATTTAGTGAAGGTTAATTCTCATTGGTCTCATGTCTGATGATTTAGAAAAACCAATCAATAGCTTTCTTCCTGGGCTGTCTTTTCCAGAGATATTTGTATAGCAATTATCTTTGTATGATAAAAATATTTTTCTTTTTGTTTCAAGGGGAGTCTTGTTTGTTTTCCAGGATGAGCACAGGCGCTATCACTTTTCTTCCAGATAAAGTTGGACAGATTCAATGGCCATTTTTGAAAGACCAGCTTCCTGCAAAGCCTTTTCTGTAATGCCACACTTTCATGGGACAGCCATCAGCTGGACTTCACAGCATCACGTGGCAGATAGTGCATAAGTGCTGAACTCTGTCTCTTGCCATGATGTGTCCTTCCGTTCTCACCTAGGATTGTTGGGTTTGATGTGAAAGCTGAAAAACTCACTTCAGAGAAGCTTAAAAATGAAAGATTTTCTGTTCTTGAAAGGGGCCAGTTCGGGATCTGAACCTCTTCCCCAAAGGGAGATTGTAAAGCATTTTTAAAGGATGGGAACACAAAGTGAGGAGGATTGGAGTTGCCTGTTGCATTGGCCAATCATATTTTGACACAAGGAGTTAATGTTGGTGAATGGGCCTTATCCAGGTCACCTGGTTTCAGGACCCTTGACTCAGCTTTTGCAATCAGGTCCCCTCTTGGACTTTGGCCAGGAATTTAGAACGATAAAGGAATAAAGGAGTGGGCAAGGTGTATGATACAGGCAACACGTTTATGACTTGTGTGCCTTAGTTTAGAAAATGGGTTAACTGCAACTTCCCTCTTTACCTCCTTTTCTGGTTAACAGACACACGAAACAGCCGAAGATGCAGAACAGGAGTTGATCCTGGAGTCTTGTTGCTGTCAGTAAGACAGAAGTTGTTCTTGAGATGGCTGGACTCAGGCAACTGTCTCCTAACAGGAATCACATGACTCCTGTGCATCAACTGGCACTGGAACTAGCTGACTTACAAAGTTAACACGTCGGGTTCCTCAGCGTTGACTCTACATGGAACCACTAAGACAGTGTAACCCAAGCAGGCCTCAAATTCACAGTCCTCCTGTCCCAGCCTTCTCAGCGCTGGGATTATAGGCATGTGCCTATGCACTCAGCTTCAGAAGCATTTTTTAAGCCAATGGAAAAATTCAGCTAGGCTTCCTGGTCACACCTGTAACCCTCATACTCAGGGGTCTGAGACAGGATTCCCACAAGTTCAGAGGCAGCCTGGAGTCCACAGGGAGCTTTAGCTACAACATGAGACCCTGCTGAAGAGGGGAGGGTGGGAAGGAAGGGAATAAGGAGATGGCTCTGTGCTTCAAGTGTTTGCAGGGCAAGTAAGAGGTTCCAGATTTGGATCCCCAGAACCCAGGGCAATGCTGAGCAGTCATGGAAGCCCTCCTGTAGTTCCTACCTTAGAAAATACGGGATCCCCAGAGCAAGACTATCTGGGTGAGGTCTGGGTTTCACTCAGAGATCCTGCCTCACAGAGTAAGTTGAGGAACAACAGACATACGTGACATACGTGTACCCCGACCACATGCAAACATGTATTACCCACACCACACACAGGAAAAGCAATAAAAAGGGAAGAAATGAATGAGTCGCCAAAGTGGCAAAGAGGAGACTACGTGAAGAAAAAAGTTTCGTTTTTAAAGGCAGCGTCTCTGTATATAGATCTGGCTGTTCTGGAACTGTATATAGATGAAGAGAGTCTCAAATTCACTGAGCTCCTCCTGCCTCTGCCTTCCCAGTAGGCCCGCGTTCTAACTAACTGCCACGCCCAGGCGCAAAAAAGGGTTTGGATTTCCCAAGGGTCCCACGGTGATCTGCTGCGCCTATGGGATCGGGGCTGTTTAAAGCAAACAAAGCAAGATCGGCAGATAACCTCAAAGCGCCATGGCGGCGTAGGGAAAGGCTCGGGCTCAGGGCTGAGCGGCCTCGCCCCGCTCCGCAGAGGTCTGGAGGAGGCGGTGAGCACAGGCGCTAGCACGCCCGGACCTCAAGCCCCGAACGCATACGGCGACCCGGCTTGGCTGCACAAGCCTGTGGCCGCCGGCACTGCAACGCCACCTCTCGCGAGACAGCAGCCGGTCCGCACCTCCTTCCTCTCTGCTGTCTCTCTCCTCCCGCCCCGGAGGAGCTGCGCCCCTTCCTCCAGAGCAGGGGAACCGTGGACGTGGCGGGGAGGTCGGAGGCTGGAGCGCCGCACACAGAGGTCCCTCAGGCGGACCTTCCGCGCCGCACTCCAGCCAGGGAGCACCGACGCGTCTTTCCAGATACACCGCGCCGGCGGGCGGAGACGTTCTGCGCATGCGCCGGGGCCGGAGCGCTGGGGTCTTAGCGGGGCCGGCACACATCGTTGGGCAGGGGCGGGCGGGGCTCGCGCACGCGCTCTGCGGGGCCTGCGGGCTGTAAGGGAGCGGGGCGCTGTGTATTGCTGCCAGGGAGCGCTGTCGCTGTGGTGGCGACAGTCCTGCGGCTTCTCTACTCCGGCTCAGCTCGGGTCGGCTCGGGAGGATGGCTTCGGAGATGGAGTCGTCGCTGGAGGTCAGCTTCTCGTCCAGCTGTGCCGTGTCAGGGGCGTCCGGGTGTCTGCCTCCCGCCCGCTCCCGCATTTTCAAGATCATAGTGATCGGCGACTCGAACGTGGGCAAGACGTGCCTGACTTACCGCTTCTGCGCCGGCCGCTTCCCCGACCGCACCGAGGCCACGATCGGGGTGGACTTTCGGGAGCGAGCCGTGGAGATCGACGGCGAGCGCATCAAGGTGAGCCGGTTGGGGAGTGGGTGTTGCTGCAGAGGGCCGCTCCAGCTTGGCAGGTGTCCCGGCCGCACCCCGGCTCTGGGGCAGGAGTGTGCGCCCCGAGTGCACCCACGCTGTCGTGGAAAGTGCGTTTGTGCACAGTAAACTTCTGAGGCAGTGTTCCCCCACTTCCAACGCGAATCAGCTTCACCTGGGGCAGCTTGTTTAAAAAAAAATGTTATGATTTGGTAAGCCCCCATTGACGCACATGCAATAAGCCTGAGTACCACACTGAGTGTCAAGAAGGTAAGGACAATCTTTGCCTCCGGCCCCCTCCGACTCACCGCGCCCGTTGCCTGAGTGAGATTTATGGGCTGGGAGCCTGGAGAATAAGACCGAAGGAAACCCAGAAATTTCTCAAGGATAGAAAACTCCGTTATAAGCTGGGCGTGGTGGTGCACTCCTTTAGAGGCTCTGTGAGTTCGTGGCCAGCCTGGTCTACATAGTTCCAGTGGTTTTGTTACACAGTGAAACCCTGTCTCAAACCCCAAAACACTCCAGTTACAAAACAAAACAAACAAAAAAACCTCTGTTATTTCTAGGAATTCATTTGAGCATTGCACAAATGCTAAGTATTGTGCAAGTAAAGCCTCTTGCCTTTGAGACGTTTTCTGTATGATAATTAACATATTTAGGAGAAAAATATATTTTCCCATTGAAGAATTTATCTGTGATGGTTCTAAAGTGGTTGGCCAAAATCACATATTGTGGTGCAAGGACAGACCCACTCCCTAGTGTCTTCTGGGACATCAGACACTGTAATCATAGCAGGGAAGTGCAAGACACCCGGTGGTATTCTGAAGGGTTCGGTTCCTGGACCTGTAGAATGAGGATCCTTGACAATTCAGGGGCCTGCTGAGTCTGTAACCCTTGACACTTTATTGCTAAACCACTAAGAGTTCCTTAACACTACTCCTTAAAACATGTGAAATGAGGTGGGGGGTAGGAGGACATCTACACCTTTAACCCTAGCGTTCTGGGAGATAGAGGCAAGTGGATTTCTGTGAGTTCAAGGACAGCCTTGGAGTATAGGGAGTTCCAGAGCAGCTGCGGGTGGGGGGGGGGTCTCAAAAAAAAACCAACCCCACCCCATACACAAAACCTAGGAACTACCCTGACTTCCTTAGTCAGGTGCTTTTGCTTTGCTTTACATTGCAGTCTTCTTCCTCAGTCTACTTGGAACAGGTTCGGTATGCTCCTCCTACCCTCCACCCTTGGGGCACAGTGTTTCCATTTCTTTACTTACCACCCTTTCCTACCTCCAAAGAGCTTTTACTCCAAGTGACAGCAAAGGGCAAATCATTTGAGTTAAGAGATCAACCCTTCTCTAGCCACCCCCCCCCCTTTTAAAGTTTGCACTTATTTTATGTGTGTGGGTGCATATGTGTGCCCAAGCCTGTGTGTGTGTTGTTGGGGTAATTCTAGACTTTAGAGGTTGACGTCAGGAGTCCTCAGTTACTCTCCATTTTTAATTTTTGAGGCAGTCTCTCAGTGAACCTGGAGCACCCTGATTCCATGAGACTGATTGGCTAGCAAGCTCCTCCCTAGGTCTGGGTTTGCAGTTGTAGAGGTGCTGAGGGTCCATATTTAGCTTGGCAGGCACTTTCCTGACAGATCATGTCCCTAGTCCTCTAAACATTAATCTTCATCATCTTCAGGCTTCCAGTATTGTCCTTTGACTACACTGTAGTGCAAAGAAAGTAAAAGGAGGCTGATGGGAATCGGGTGCAGCTCAGCGGTAGGGTTCTTACTAGGATGCACAAGGCCCAATGTTTGATCCCTAACAGAAACTGAGGAAAGAGATTTGTGTACATGGCAAAAATTGCTGGTTGAGTAGAGGTGAAACTTTTCTTTCGAAACCAAAACTAGGTTAAGTGTATGTTTTAGTAAGGGTTACTACTGCCGAAACAAAACACCACGACCAAAAAGCAAGTCGGGAAGAAAAGGGTTTATTTGGCTAACACTTCCACATTGGTGTTTATCACTGAAGGGAGTCAGGACAAGAACTCAAACAGGGAAATGATCCTGGAGGCAGGAGCTGATGCAGAGGCCATGGAGGGGGTCTGCTTACTGGCTTGCTTCCTCTGGCTTGCTCAGTCTGCTTTCTAACCAAACCCAGACCACCAGCCCAGGGATGGCATCATTGGCAATGGGCTGGGCCCTCCTCCATTGATCACTAATTGAGAAAATATCTTATAGCTGGGTCTTATGAAGATATTTTCTCAGCTGAAGTTCCTTTTTCTAGATGACTCTAGCTTGTGTCAGGTTGGCACAAAGCCAGCCAGTATAGTACAGAAACCTGTGGAAACAGGAAAGCATCTGTTGCTTACGTGTTTAGCATGGGGCAAGCAGTTGTGGGGAAAATTGTTCAGGTGCAAGTGTAAGCTGATGAAGATGTGACATTCGTCTCCTGAGTTCAGGTGTTAGAAATTTAATTCCCATGCTCCTAAATTAATGAGATTTGGAGTTGGGACATTTGGGAGGTGATTGGGTCCTTCAGATTTGTGAATGGGTTAATCCCTTCCTAGATTAATTAGACTAATCTGTTGACTGGTTAAGGAGTTAGTTCATTCCTATATTAGTAGATTAATCTCATTTATGGATTAATGGGTTATAGGTAATGGCTTGTCCACCTATAAAGCTGTGAACCAAATAAACTTTTATTCTCTAAGGTATACGGCTGGGTGTCAGGCTTTTTATTTTGTTTTTTTCTTTTCTGCTTTGTTTGTTTGTTTGATTGATTGATTAATTTACAGACAGTCTTTCTATGTAGCACTGGCTGTCCTGGAACCCTCTCTGTACCACGTCCAGCTTCTAACTCACTGAGATCTACCTGCCTCTGCCTTTAATTCCAGCACTTGGGAGGCAGAAGTAGACAGATCTTTGAGTTTGAGGCCTGCCTGGTCTACAGAGTGCAATGTTTCTCGGCCTGTGTGTCACAATCCCTTTTGGGGTTGACAACCCTTTCACAGGGGTCACCTAAGACCTTCAGAAAAAGCCATGGTGTATGTCTGCAACCCCATCATCACTTGGGAGGCAGAGGCAGGCAGATCTTTGTGAGTTCAAGGCCAGCCTGGTCTACAAAGTGAGTCCAGGTTAGCCAAGGCTATATAGAGAAACCCTGTCTTGAAAAATCAAAGGAAAAAAAATCAGAAAACACAGATACTTACATTATAATTCATAACAGTATCAAAATTACAGTTATGAAGTAGCAACTAAAATACTTTTATGGTTAGGGGTCACCACAACATGAGGAACTGTATTAAAGAGTCACAGCATTAGAAGGGTTGAGAGCCACTGACATAGTGAGTTCCAGGACATCCAGGACTATACAGAAACCATCTCTTGAACAACTGGAAGAAAAAAAAAAGTTCAGGGAGTATAAGGAATAGTCCCTTACACCTAGGATTTTTTTTTTTTAAGTCAGTCATTAACTTAGAATAAAGGATATACTTTTTTTTCTGAAAAAAAAAAAAATTTAAAAATCTCACAAGGTTTTGGAACCAGGGCCGGGTGTGGTGGTGCCCATATTTAGTCCTAGCACTCAGGAGTCAAAGGTAGGCAGATCTGAGGTCAGCCTGTTCTACATACCAGGTTCCAGGACATTCAGGGGACAGTGAGACCCTGTCTTGAACACGTGCGCGTGCACGCGCACACACACACACACACACACTCACTACACTCTTCATCTTGTCAACTTGTTTAGGTGCATCTGACAACTCATCTTACAGTCCCATCTGCTGGAGAAGTGTGTGTTTGTTGTGGTGTCTTCTGCTGTATTTTTTGAGACAGGGTCTCTCTGAAAGTGGACCTTATCTACCCAACCCCACCTTGAACTCGTGAACCTTTACCTCCTGGGTGCTGGGATTACAGGCAAACCCACCTGGTTTATGCAGTGCTGGGGGTAGAGTCCGGGGCAGTTCTAAGCTGGGCAAGCACTGTGTGGCCTGAGCTCTCTCCTGTCCCTGTCTATGTTAGTTTTCGTAAATCCTTTCCTAAGCAGGGTGTGCTGGTGCATGCCTTCACTCTCAGCACCCGGGAAGCATAGGTAGGTAGATCTGTGAAGTTATAGGCCTGACAGAACTCCATAACATGAGGCTGAGCCAGGATGATGGCCTTGAGTTGAAGGCTAGCCTGACTACTTAGTGAATTGCAGGCTTCCTTGTCTCAAAAAAAAAAAAAAAAAAAAACCAAAAACAAAAAAACTGAGCCAGGCATGGTAGCACACCTTTAACCCCAGCTCTCAGCTCTGTTTGAACTCAGACTATACAGCTAGGCAGTTGAGTTGTGTGTCCACAGCTTCCACCAGTCTGGTAGCTGTAAAAAGTCTTCCTTTTCAATTCCACGACAGCCACATAGTGAGAGCCCGCCTAAACATACACACAAAAGAAAGGAAACAAAACTCCACAAAGTCTGTACTTGCTAATTGATTTCTGAATGCTATGTGCATATAATTGAAAGAGGAAATCTTGTTCACAGAATTTTGGCAGCTGAATGAAAATGAATTCCTTAAATAAAAATGCATTTGGCTTTCAAATTGACTCTCCCAGTCTTAATCCATATGCTCTTTCCTGACTGTCTAGCTGTAATTCTCTCTTAGCAGTCAATTTGCCATGGCAGATGCTTCAGTGGAGCCTGATATTTTGAGATTTAATCCAGTCTCCCATTGGAGATCAGCAGTCACTACTTATATTAGTGGCTTGTTTATAGAGAGAAGTGAGATTTCTCCATGTTAAAGATATTAATATCAACTAAGGAGAAACAATCAAGATATCCTTCCCCATAAATCAAATATTTTATGAGTAATTATTGGTAAAATAGATACTTTATTGAGGACGAAGGGTGATGATATGGTGTAAGGAGTAACAGACTGTGAAAGGCAAGTGCTCTACTTCCTGTTTTTATGGGACGTGCAATTTAAGAATGATTTCTATGTTATTTTCAGTGCTGGTGGTTGAACCCAGGACTTCTTCATACATGCTATGCAAGCCAGTACTCTAATAACTAAGCTGTATCCCTGGCTCTGCTTTTATGTGGTTGGAGGAAAAAAAGTACAAGAATGAGATTTCATGAAAAATGAAAATCGCATCAAATGCATTTGTAATCTTTATCTTTCACTCCCTAAATCCAGCTAGCTTTCTACTACGGTTTCTCCTTTTACTCCCATCATCCAGCCGTAACTAAAACATTGTCTTCAAGCCTCTCTTTGAGGGATAGAGGTCTATCCCTAGAAAGCTCAGTGGTGGAGTACTTGTCTGGGTGTTCAGGATGATGGGTTTCATCCCCAGTACTGGTAGAAAAACTCAAACCGAACTTTGAACATTGATTACAGCTCTGCTGGTCTCATATAAAACCTGCTAACACAAGCTTTCCTCTGTCTGGTGCCCGCTGCCCTCTTCCTTCAGTCGTCCTATAGTTTAGCTAAGTCATTTTGCTGGTTTTCCGCTGTGTGCTCAGAGTATCTCTCTAGAATTTCTCTGCAAGATTGTTATTCAGCTTCCCTTCTGTGTAAGTCCCCTTAGCCCGACATCAATCCATCACCACCTTACTGCATGATACAACTGTCTTCCCTATGAGGGCAGGATCAGGTCTAGTAATTGATAGTTCCCCAGCCATGTAGTAGTCGGCCAAATGTTCAGTTATGCAAACAGGTCAGTTGGTAGGTTACCCTGGAAATCCCAAATTCAAGTGACAAAAAAAAAAAAAAAAAAAAAAAAGCTAATAAAAAGACAGGTGATAAAAGCAAAATCTTAGATGAATTTTGAAGATAAAGCCAAAGGTTACAATAACTGACTTTTGTTAATGAGGAAGGGGCCAGTTACAGTGACCAGAGGTGATAACTCCAAGAGGCAAGTTATGGTAAATGGAGGTGATGATTCCAGGAGCAGAGGTCATGAGAATGAGCTGAAACATCTACTTCCGGGACCAAGGACATTGGATTTAAAGAAAGCTTTTCTTTATTTTTATTTTTTGTGTTTATGCACGAAGGCCGTACCTGGTGCCCAGAGGAGGATGTTGGGTTCCCAGAACTGGAAGGCCAAGACTGTTGTGAACCGAATGCTGGTCCTCTACATAAGAGCCCCCAGTGCTCTCACCTGCTGAGCTGTCTGTCCAGCCTCTGAGTCTTTACATTCTAAGACAGGGTATTGCTCAGTTGCACAGGCTTGTCTCAGACTCCAGATTCTCCTGCTCCAGTCTCCGGGGTAGCCGGATCATAGACAGCGACATGCCCGGCAGCCATTGGGTTGTATTTATTTTGAGATGCTTTAATTTTAAATTACATGTACTTTGTGTGTGTGTGTGTGTGCACGCACACACACATGGAAGTGAAATGACGACCTGCAGGAGTTGGCTTTCTCTTTCCACAGTGTGGATCCTGGGATTTAACTAAGGTCGTCAGGCAAGGTAGGCAGCCTTGGATACAGGATTTGGATACCTTTGTTTGAGACAGGGTCTTACTATGTAACTCTGGCTGTCCTGGAACTCACAAAGATCTACCTGCCTCTGCTGGGGTGAAAGGTGTGCACCACCGTGCCTTGGATAGAATGTAGACGCCTGTGGAGGGTTCATTAGGATCTTATCTGACAAACTCAGAATCAGTTCCCAGGACCCACCTATGGCACACAGACATCCACTCAAGCAAGCACTCATACACATAAACAAAATTTCCAAATTTAGAACAACAACAATAACATGAGGCCAGAGGTAGCAGTCCTGTGGTGGCCCCTGTTGGTAGGAAGTCGCCCTCACGCTTACCTCTGCATTACGCTTTCCTTGTGAGGCTGTCTTCACTCTTATATGTCGCCAGGCAGCAAGGGCCAGCTGTGACCCATGACATGTTTTACATGCTCCACCTGTGTATATGATTATGTATGCACCTGTGGGTGTAGGTGTGCATGGAGGTTAGCATTCTCTTCAGTTCCTCTCTGCCTTAGTTTTGGAGACAGGGTTTCTCAGTCCAGCTAGTCTGGCTGTCCTCATACTCCAGAGAGCCTCCTGTCCTCACACTCCCATTGCTGAGTCTACAGGTGTGACTGTGGACCAGCTGCTGTGAGCACTAGAGGCAGAACTCAGTCCTCATATTTGCACAGCAAACACTTAACCGTCTCCCCCAGCCCCCTTTTCAGTCCTGAAAGACAGTAGCTTTCCTGGAACGCCCTCTTCCTGGGAAGGCTGGTTGTACATTATTGGCTCCAGTTCTGCCACTGGTACCAAAGTACCAAGAAAACATGAGAAATCAAGATTTGTAAATACTTTATGTTTCTGCCCTGAATACAATTAGGCATACATTAATTAGGACAAATTAAGACTATTAAGAAAGTGGAGAGGCTGGGCGTTGTGGGGTATTCTAATCCCAGCGTGCAGCAGTCAGAGGCAGGCAACTCTGTGAGTTTGGGGCTGGCCTAGTCTACACAGAGAGTTCCAGGCCATTCAGGACTACACAGGAAGGCCCTACCTCAAGGGGCGAAAAAAAAAGGATTAAATGAAGAAATTTGGATTTAAATCGCTGACAGATTTAAAACTCGGTAAAACTGAGGGCTAGATGGAAGGCCCAGGGACCAGAGGTGCTTGATCCCTGCATCCCACAGAGTGTCAGTGCAGAGCCACCTCTCACCTGCACATACTCATCAGGGCCTGTGTGCACCAGTGCACATGTGTGCACACAGTCAAAAATTAAAAACCCCTTAGTACACTGACTGCATTGGCTCTCATAGCACCAATCTGCAAATATTCTGACTGTTCTATATGTTGTATCCTTTTCCCTCAGTTTTCTTTAAAAAAAAAAAGATGAAAGAAAGAAAAAGAAAAACATTTTTAATACCAAACCTTTTCAGAGTTATAATCTGTAGTTAGTGGTCACGTGATGGTTAAACCGGAATCCTGAAGTCTAGACCCCACAGGAAACACAGAAAAGGCAAGCTTGCAGGTGGAGAGGCGATGGGGAGCAGGGAAAGGTGCTCAAGGCGCTCAGTGTGTGTCCCTGGACAGAAGGTGTGACTTGGCTCTCTGTCCCCCCAGATCCAGCTGTGGGACACCGCGGGGCAGGAGCGCTTCAGGAAGAGCATGGTCCAGCACTACTACAGGAACGTGCACGCTGTCGTCTTCGTGTATGACATGACCAACATGGCCAGCTTCCACAGCCTGCCTTCCTGGATAGAGGAGTGCAAGCAGCACTTGCTGGCAAACGACATACCTCGCATCCTGGTCGGAAACAAGTGTGACTTGAGAAGCGCCATTCAGGTGCCCACGGACTTGGCCCAAAAGTTTGCCGACACACATAGTATGCCTTTGTTTGAGACCTCCGCCAAGAACCCCAATGACAATGACCACGTAGAAGCGATATTTATGACCTTGGCTCACAAGCTGAAGAGCCACAAACCGCTGATGCTCAGCCAGCCGCCTGACAGCAGAATTAGCCTGAAACCTGAAATGAAACCTGCGGTGACGTGCTACTGCTAAGTCCTGGGCGAGGCCATCATGGCTCTGACTGACCTGAAGAGACACTTCTGAAGTGTGACAGTGATAACGTTCGTAAGGGTACATCTCAAGTGTAACGGATCATCCTGCTGTTAACGCTGTTGCGCCGCCTTTTGTATTTTGCATCCTTTTAATCAAGTTTGTCATTGAGACAACACAAGGAAAAGGCTGGTTCACAGCTGGGATTGAAAATGAAGCAAAGAAAGGAAGACCCAGGCCATCTTTCCAGTGCCAGCCAGCTGAAGGCTCTCTCATGTGAGCATGATGGGACCTAAAGGGCCGCGCTTGTTCTACTCGGTGTTCCTGGGGCTGTAAAAGACGTGCAGTGTAGCGCGCACACACTGGGCAGAGCTGGAGCGAATGGCGAGTTACTAGGGTGCTTTATTTTACTGTGTACCTTCAAGCACTAAAAACCAATCGGAAGAATCCAAGCAGTTATAATGGGACTTTATTTTAGCCATGACTTAATGAAAATGTCAGATATTTACAAAGCTGGTTTCTGGTGCCCCTTGTCCTCTCTCCTCAGCCCTTTGGGTGACTCAGGGCTGGATTCGGTCAGCGTCCACTTGTCCGAGGGCTCTCCATGTATTCCTGTAATAGTTTTGTTGGGTCAGTTTTTAAATGCCTGAATGTTATGGCCACAAACTGTCCCTTGGTATGAAAAATATCTGTCCCTCAATAATGAAAGAAATAATTTTAAGTTTTTTTCTCCTAAGTACTTGTGGTTTGAACTTAAGGCTTTGCACAGAGAAACTAGCATGTGTGCACGTGATGGTTGTTGCAGGATGGCGGGTAAGAGTGTCCCACCTAAGTGTGCCTGTTCTGACAGCTTACAGCTCTTGGCAATGTAGAGAAAATTAAGCCAAAATATGTCTTACTTAAAGATTTTCAGAGTGTGGGGAATATAATCTAACCTAGTTTCAGATTTTTGTTTCGTTATTCTGAAGGTCCCACCTGGACAATTCAGTTATGAAGCAAAATGTTTCTGTTAATTAACTAAGTGAAAGTAACTTTTAAGGGATGATTTGTACAATTTAAATATTAATTCAGTTAAATATAATGAAATAAATATTAGGGCCCAGGTTGGCTTTATTTGCATTTAGGAAGATTTTTTTTTTTTTTTTAATACAAGTCTCTGTGTAGGCCTGAGTAGTCTAGGACTGGGTTGGTCTCAGACTTACAGATACTCCCCTGCCTCATCCTCCGACTGCCAGAGATTAAAGGCATCTTCACCAGGACTATCCAATACCCTTTTCTTAATCATGCTAGAATGAAAGATTAAAAATTGTCTTTTATCTAAATGAATGCTGACTTGTGAACTATTTTTCTAGTGAAACATGGCTGTAGTAACTGGTGGCTGTAGACTTTACAGAAGGGCGTCTGTTCATTGTTGTCAATACTTTGTACAACTGGGGAAAGGCCTGCTGTGCTGTCCAACCACATCTATGGGTTTTGTTTGTTTTCTTAGTAATGTTAATTAATGACTTTTCCTTTTAAAGTAACAAACTGTTTCTTTTTGTAAGGAGTTAATGAGCATTCTTTACAATTCTGTGAAAAGCATAAGTTTTTCACTTTAGTATTTATTAATTAAAACATTTGTATTTCATTTGTGAACTTTAATTTTCAGTTGCTTACTTTAAAAAGATATGTATCAGGTTAGCAAGAATAAGGCCTTTAGATGTAGCCCAATGTGTTTATAAAACACTTTATTGACTATTGACATCATTTCCAAAATTTTGGTTAGCTGACATCTAGTTACAAATTTTAAAATTTACAAGTTACAAAATGTCACAAATTTTGTACCTCTGAATTTATTTCAGCTGACATTTAATTGGAAATGTAAGATGGTTTACGAAAACCTTGATTTGAGAACACCAAAGCAAACTACTTTTGAATCTGTCTTGGTTGGCTTCAACCCACTTGACTGGCAGTGGGCTGTACTTCATGTACCCTCAGCAAACTCAGAAGTTCTGCTGGGAAGCGAGTCACTCATACAGTTCTCCCGTGAAGTAAATAAATCACCTTTGCCACGAAGAAATGGTGTTTTGTGTCCTTTGTTCTCTGGGTTGACTATAAATTAAAGAGCATATCTCCTCCCGTCTGCCATAGTTTTCAGAAAATATGTAGAGCCTACAAGTCATTAATTTGAAAATGCACTGATACGCGTGTGTACACACACACACACACACACACACATATGCAACATGCACTATTCACTTGTGGAAGAGAATATAATTTTAAGAATAAAGCTACACATTAGCATAATGTTATAAAAGCTATGGACTTAGCATATGTTGTAAAAGCTGACCGCATGGAAAATCCAAAGCATATTAAGATCGGTAGCATTGTTCTCTTACAAATAGGTTAAACAGGCTGAGCACATAGTAGGACAGCAGGCGATATACACCGTCTTAAATAACCTTAAATAGCATTTTACTAACTTGGCTGCAAGGTCCAACAAAAGTTCGGTCTCTGAAGGCAAGAGGTATTTTCAGAAAACATTACCGTAGGTGAGCAGGAATTCTGTCACAATGAGGTAAGTGTGATTGGTTGGATAGACACATACCATGGGACAGTATGCAGAGAGTGGCGTAGTGTCAAAGCATCACAGTGGCAAGGGCCTCTGGATGGCATTCCGAGGTCCATGTGAGGTATTCTGTAAGTCGGGAAAGAAGCATCCAGGTGATAGCTCAAGGGGAGCTGGATTTGGTACGGTGGTTTAAGACTGTCTACCAAACAGTCTAAACCAGGCCTGGGATGTAGTTGGCATAAGGCTTGCCTGATGTGCTCAGAGCTCTGGGGTTGGAGCCCCAGCACCGCACCCCGAAGGCAGGGTAGGGTTTCTCTGTAATCCCAGCACTCTGGAGGTGGGGCCAGGGGGATCAGGATCTCTGTCATCTTTGGCTACCTAGAGAGTTCAAGGCCAACCTAGACTACTTGAGACCCTACCTAAAAAAAAAAAAAAAAAAAAAAAAAAGGAAGAAAAAAGTGCAAAGCAACTGAGAAGGACTTGATTGTAGGAATCTGACTTGTGTCTGACTTGCTTCCTTGGGTTCACAGCGGAGTGGAGGTAGACTGAGGTTGACTTGAGCCCCACACTAAATGTCCTCATTTGCCTTGAACAACTGCAGTTCTCCAGTTTTCTGGCTCAGGAGGGAGGAAAATGCAATCACTGATTATTTCTGATTGTTGGGTGTTGCAACCATCTAGAGAAAAATGAACTGATTGTCAGTCCCAAGTTTAAACTTCTAGAATGGATGGTTGATTTGCCTGGCTAGTCAGGTACTAGCCTAAGGCCATTATCCTCAAAGCAAACACACAAAGTAGGCAGTATTTGCATTTTAAGAGAAAAGGGTTTTGGGAGGAGAGAGTAAAAAAATTGGTGGTAGGGACAACCTCAGAGAAACATGAACCTTGCTGTAAGTGGGGAAGAAAGAGAACATTTTGCAGAATAGCGACGTCATCTCACTTATGCTGGGAATTCTGTGGTAATGAAGGTGGAAATGAGGTCATGTTGACAATCGACTTACTGTCACAGCCGAAAAGACAAAGCTCTAACCGAGATGCTGGCAGAAAGTACTGCACACCTGTAATGCTAGGAGGTGGGGGCAGGGGGAAGGGGGAATCAGAATTCGAAGGTCACTCTCACCTACACAGGGAGTTTGGGGCCAGCCTGGGTTGAGATTCTGTCTTAAAACTGAATGGATGAGTACATGAGTGAATGAATAAAGTCTAAAAGGTTGACAGTGCTATGCAGTGGTGGGGTACTTGCCTAGGGTGCTTGAGGCCCGAGGCTCAGTACCCTGTAACCCAATACAGTAAATTCACAGAACAGAAAGATGAAGAGGATTTGAAGTGGCTTTCGTGATGTTCGCCTGAGTCCTCTGTCAGTATTGCTGTCCTCAGCCCCTGTGACATTCAGAACCTGCCACCAGCATGTCCCCAGAGCTGCTGCAGGAGCATGAAATGCCTGTAATCACGGTGTCCCGAAGGACCATTCCCGTCACCATGTGCCCACCCGCATCCCCTCACAACCTGTCCCTAATTTATTATACTGAATATCGTGACACACACCAGCGGATGTGTCTCCAGGTAGAGAGAAATCCCTCTTCAGTGCTTGAAATTGTTACTTTACTTAGCTCTAGGCTGCCGAGGACAGAGCCCATGCCTTGTCTATGCTAAGCAGAGACTTTCAGCCCTCCTTCAACTTCACCCCCAAGGCCAACAAACATGCAAACATGTTGGTATGGCTCTGTCCACATTTCCAGTTCTTCCATCTAAATGCATTAACTGGTCAAGCTAGAGGAGTCTTGCTGAGCAGTTAGACAGGTCTCAGCCCAGGGTGAATGACACAAGAGACCTTTTGAGTCCACAGAACTGGGCTGATCCTCTTGTATTTCCTGTCTGCCTTGGTGTCTGGAGCTTTGCCTAGCCCTTGGCCTTGCTTGTGAGGTTTCTAATCTCATTTTTAAAATCTTATCGACCATGCATGGAGATAACCTAGAACCCCTGCACAGATGTAGCCCATGGCAGCTCAGTCTCAAAGTGGGTTTCCTAGTAAGGGGAACAGGGACTGTCTCTGACATGAACTGATTGGCCTGCTCTTTGATCACCTCCCCCCTGAGCAGGGAGCAGCCTTACCAGGCCACAGAGGAAGACAATGCAGCCACTCCTGATGAGACCTGATAGGCTAGGATTAGAGGGAAAGGGAGGAGGACCTCCACTATCAGTGGACTTGGAGAGGGGCATGGGAGGAGATAAGGGAGGGAAGGTGGGATTGGAAGGGAACAAGGGAGGGGAATACAGCTGGGATACAAAGCGAATAAACTGTAATTAATAAAAATAAATACATTTTTAAAAATCTTATCACTGCGTGTGTGCATGTGTACTGAGGAACGATGTGGTTAGAGGACAGCCTTATAGGGTCAGCCCAAGTGTTTTCCTCCCACTTTTATGAGCTCTGGGCTTTGAACTTAGGTTACCAGGTTTGCTCAGTATACCTGCTGAGCCGTGTCACTGTCACTGGCCTCCAGGATCCTCCTTTCATTTATTTTATAAATATTTTTAGGTTTATTTATTTATTATTTATACAGTATTCTGCCTGCATATGTGTTTGCACACCAGAAGAGGGCACCAGATCTCTTATAGATGGTTATGAGCCACCATGGGGTTGCTGAGAATTGAACTCAGGATCTTTGGAAGAGCAGTCAGAGTTCTTACCCATGAGCCACCTCTCTAGTCCCTCCTCATTTTAATTTTAAATGACATGGTCTCACTGTGTAGCTCAGGCTGGCTTGGAACTCACAGAGATCCACCCTTGCCTCTGCCTCCCAAGTGCTGGAGCCAGAGGCGTGACAGCAACTCTTTGGGTTTCTGTGACAATTAAATGACTTAAAATATATGTCATATCTATTGTTGCTTAGCAAATTTCCCTGAAGCTGAGTTGTATCATCCCTTGGTGGTGGGTGAGGGATAGAGGGCTGTTCAGCCAGGCTCTTCCGGTTTGGGTGTGCAGGAAAGTGTTGTCTGAGGGGTAGTTGGGAAGGCTAGGTGGCTGGGGTGGGATACCTCAAGGCTGGTTTTCCCTGTTCTTTGTGTCCACTCTGTATGGTAGCCTCAAGTTCGGTGGACTTCCTGTTCCACACTGGAAAACCCCTAGACAAGCGGCCCAAGGTTCATCTGCATCTGTATGGTCCCATTGCTGCTTCTCATCTGGCACAAAAGCCACTCTGAGCAGCAGTGGTCACCGCTCCCTCTGTCGTATGTGAATAAGCTCTGCCTGGAATGAGGGGCCTGGTATAAACTCTGGCCTCCTAAAATCTCCACACAAGGACCATGGGCACTTACTGCTCACAGTGGCCTCGGTCTGTGTCATGCTAGAGCTAATGAAAAGCCTTGTGATGTGGAAAGCTATGCCGTGTTTGTGCAGAGAACACGCTTACACCAAGGAATTTATTACCTTAATGGCTCTTTCACTTCTTTTTCTTTTTCTTTTTTTAGTTGTTTTTAAAGTTACCATCTGAAGTAATGGGTTCATTAGGACACTTTCTTGTGTTCACTGCTCTTATTCACACCCTTGGCTCCTCTCTTGCAGGTCCCCTTTCTCTCTGCCAGTTGTCCCCCTTTTGTCCCTCGTCACATATATTCCATTTCTCTCTCTCCTTTTCCTACCAGTACCCTTCTTCTTCCCCTGTCTCAGCCCCTTTTCTGTTTCCTGAACCACATATATTTTAGTATGTGTGTTTGTGTGTATGCATATATACCCCCACACATGGGCGCACATGTACACACAGACACAGACACAGACACACACACACACACACGATTCTCATGTGAGGGAAGACATGAGGTATTTGTCTTTCTGAGTCTGGCTTATTTCATTCAACATAATAGCTCAAGTTCCATACATTGTCCTGTAAATGTAATACCTCTCTCTCTCTCTGCATGGGTGTTTTGTCTACATGTATGTCTGTGCATCATGTGTGTGCCCAAGAAGGCCAGAAGGCCTTGGCACCCCTGAAATTGGAGTTATAGATGGCTGTGCGCTGCCATGTGGGTGTTAGGAATTGAACCCTGGGTCCTCTGGAAGAGCAGCCAGTGTGCTTAGCCACTGAGCCATCTCTATAGCTCTTCATTTTTCTCTTAAAAATAGTTATTGTATCCTTTCTACCACTTTTTCCTTCCAACTTCATGTACTTTTGTGTGTAAGTGTGTGTGTGTGTGTGTGTGTGTGTGTGTGTGTGTGCCAGCATTTGAGTGTTGGGAGCTGAACCAGGTCCTCTGAAAGAGCAGCAGGTACTCTTAACTGCTGAACCATCTCTCCAGCCCCTTTTCTGAACCCACTAAGTCCAGTTATTGCTGCCAAGATGTGCCTGGGCATCCCACGAGCCAGCTGCACAGAAAACTGATTCTCCCTCCCCCAGCAGCCCTCTCGCTGCTGGGACTCTGGCTGGCTTGGCCTTGTGCAGACCTCATGCTTGCAGTCACAGCTACGGTGCGGTGGCGTGTGACAGCCCTGTTGAGTCTGGG